CCAGTGTCGCTTTTTACAGAAGATAATAAAAATGCAAATCAAAAATATTGACTGCCATGAAAGTGTCGACTCACTTGCTTGCACTGTTTTATTGTTCACGTGGATTGCATTATAAGATTGCTTTTCAAATAGAAAAGTGGTCTTGTTTTTATATTATAAACTATATTTAGTCATACATATGGTAGAAATATCAATATCTTACCGGTCACAGGGTCGGATGGCAGTAAAAGATGAACTTTGGACTGTCGTTTTCATTTCTAACTTACGCTTATTTGGCAGAGATGGAGTTAATATTAGAATTAACGTTGCCTTTGCTTCGTAAAAAAAAATATTAGACGCATCATTTGAGTCTAATTCTTATTGCAAGAATTTCTTAACAGTTTGTTTCATTAAAAAAACTAGAATGACAGGATATATCATTTATTGGATCCTGGAATTTATAATAATTAAGTTTTTTTAATTTTTATTTTTATTTACTTAATATCTAAAATTTAAATCATAAAGCTAAATTTAGAAAATGTTAGTTTATTGTTTTAAACTAGATATTCAGTTACATTATTTATAGAATAAATAGTTTAACAAAACAAAATTCTAAATGACCAGTAATTTTCATTATCATACGAGGGTATGAAACAAGAATTTTTCATTTAACTCAGTTATTAAAACACAAACAGTATTTGTGTTATTAAAAATATTCCAACTTCGTACTGCGTGTCAAACGCATTCTGGTAATGAAGTTTCGAGTGGTTTGCATTCCCCAAGAGAGGAGGGTCACAATAGTTAGCATTTACGAGTACATAACAGGGACTCGGAAATCATTTTCGTTTAACTTCCTATGCTTCTGAAGGGCGGATTCAAGGGCTGCGATATTTACTTAACTTGTTATATTTCGCAAATTTCATTAAAGACAATAAATCTAAAATAGGAAACAGTTTAACGGTTATCTGAGCATTAAATTACATCCAAATAGGCTCAGCCATTTCAGCTTATAGGAGTAACAAATATAAACACACACACATGCAAACGTTTGCAAATATAATAGTAGACATACTCCAACTAAGAAAACTTCTGGAGACCTATTAACAGGATAGCTATAAGAGGATATCAAAGTTAATTCTCAAAATTGAATTTCACACAAATAATTTACTTTCATATTTATTTTATACATATTTAATATATTTAGACATACCATTTAAAACTATTGCAATTGCTATTGTGAGTTTTTACTATTAAAGATTTTTGCAATGTTTAAATGGAATGTTTGTGTATACTGTATATGTGCTACTTGCTTTGAGGAAATTATCAAAGTTTAAAATTGGTTTTCCTGTCTTCCATTGTACGTTCACGTTACTTGGAAAAACCTGAGGCGAAGAAACGAAAACTATATTAAAGATCACAAGATTATTTTGTAGGAACACATACGAGTATATATTTTCTTACGTCTACCCCATATGTGCTTTTGTAAACGTAGTTTGAAATGACGTGTAATATTTAGTGATAATAATGATAAACGAATTTGAATATATCAAGTAATCCTCTAAAATTGAAGCAAATAAATCTGCGCACATTTCTCAATTAAAATATTAAATCTACGAGTAAATAGGTGATTATTGTCAATCTCTGTCTTATTTACAGGTTATTTAGAGATTTATATAATATAATAATGAGCAAATTAGAGGAAACATTTTAAAAATCTAAACTGGTATTAATTACAGAGAGCTAAAGTTTGTACGTATGTAAGTTTGTATGGGGGATATCTATGAAACTTCTGATCCGATTCTGAAAATTACCGCTGAGTGCTTTAGGTTATTTATTATTCCGTGAAAATGGGCTTACTATAAAAAAATAACTTTAATTGAAATCGGAAGAAAAGTGGTAGTTGAGTTCTTTTATCGATGTACACTGCTTAAACAGTTTGAAATAAAAGCATTAAAATGTATGACAAAAGATCCCTCGGGATCGTTTTCGAAACGAGGGTAAGTCGATAGTATTTTAATAATGGTAACTTTTAACCCCCGACGCAAATACAACGTTGCGTGTCTGTGTGTAGCTGTTTGATGAAAATCGGTCCAAGACGGTCGGGTTTTTTTAAATACGTATAAAATTTGTTACTTGTTATTTAATTTTTACAAAAATTCCATTGCAAAGTTTGAGGAAAAAAAATACAATTTTCGATTTTCGGTTTCACAATTAATTAAATTAATCTAAATCTTTATATATATAATTCTTGTGTGAGTGTGTATGTCACTGAACTTCTCTCAAACGACTGGACCGATTTTGATGAATTTTTTTGTGTGTGTTCAAGGGGATCTGAGAATGGTTTAGATTCACAATTTGAATAATAATTTTCATCAAAATGGTCCAGAATGTTTTAGCTTATTAAAAAAAGTTTGAAATTTTCAAAAGTAAAGACGTGTAGACAGGACAACGTCTGTCGGGTCAGCTAGTTCATTATAGAATTACCTATTTCAATTCTTATTACAAAGCTTTGTATACGAGTATTTGCATGCGATTGATCGTGTCGATTTCAATTAGGCGAAAGCAAACGTGCCTTGCTTGTATAATTGCGACTACGATCGCATACGACCGGCGATAACCATCAGAGCGTGTCTATTGCAATTATGAGATATTACTGTATGGCGTTCTTAATCGGTTTGTTGACTAAGCAGATGCTTCTGTTTATTGCTATTGGGAATATATGTAGTAATTCGATTATGGTAATTATAATAGGAGAATATCTATAGGTACATATTATAATAAAATTCTAACTGATTCGAATCTGTTACATTAAATATTTTTGGAAAATTTTATTCAAATAGTCATTATTATCGGTACAGAGGATAAATCTATAGTTTTTAGAATTTTCGTCTGTCCTTCTGTCTGGGAACGCATTACGATAAAACTACTGGACAGCTTTTGATGAAATTTGGTATCATTATAGCTGGTTATCCGGGTCAACATATATTATACTTTTTACTGCGGGAAAATATCTTATCTCTGAGAAATCTATACTAAATGTTATAAATCACACTAGTTACTGTTATAAAAGTGAAAGTTTCTATGTGTCTGTATGTTTGTTACTCCTTTACGCTAAAATGACTACATGGATTTAGATGAAATTTAGTACGCAAATTGACTATGACTTAGAGTAACAGATAGGCTACTGTTTGTAATGAAATATGCCAAAAGCGATACTTTTACGTGATAATTTTACGTGATAAATTGCAGGTAAATTCTAAAAACCATATAATTTTCCGGAGTTTTGAAAATCAATCGGACATTTTTAAAACCAAAAATGTAAACATTGAAGCATGCTTGCAAATAATTTTTTTTATTTAATTTCATTGTGAATATGTTGTAAAGAGTCAAGGCGTTAATTACTTTATACGCTGTAGGCATGAGATAGTAGAGTGAAATCGGATGTTCTACAAGACCCCAATATATCGGGAAGGAAACAGTTTGAAATTTTGGCTCTTGAAAATTTCGATATAAAACTAAGAAAGTACTACAAACCATGTTAAGATTATAAACTAAAGATTATAATCCATATTATAAACGTTAAATAATGAACAAATGCACCGAGGGACGCATAAGTCGCTAGTATGCTAACGTACATATTTATTTTTTGACGACACGTTTGGCTCAGTTTGTAGTGACCCTACTTGCTGTGCCAGCGGTCGCGGGTTCGAGTCCCGCTGGGGCATTCATTTGTGTGATGAGCACGAATGTTTGTACTTCAGTCATGGGTGTTTATATTTATAAAATGTATGTATTTAAAAATATATATGTGTAGTGTATCAACTGTCTGGTATCCATAGCACAGGCCTCGTAACTTACCATGGAACTAGATGGTGCTGTTTGTTAATGTCCCAACATATTTTAGGATCTTACCAGTGAATATTCCTAGGTTTTTATATAACGTTGTTAACACTCTTATAACTTCAGCTTAATACTGTGAAGGCAAGTTATATTTTTTTCTTTTGGGTCATTGTGTGAATATTTCAAATAAAATATCCAAAGCATAAGGTTGACGACTTAAAAGATTGCGGGTCCCGCTAAAGGTCTTGTTTCCTGAGATTAAGTTCATTCTCTACGAGCTTTAAGCTTTTATTTGTATAACGTTTTATATTCTTTTTAATAAAAGAGCACCCTATTTTGGTATGATAAGATTTTATTATCTTAAACTAGCACTCACCCTCGCTTCGTTCGGGTTCGTCCCTAGGTACGTTTTAATTTTTTTGAGCGGAACCCTAATTCTTTTTCTAAAATAAAAGTAGCCTATGTTACTCCCTATAACATCAGCTACTTCCAGTGAAAGTCCCGTCAAAATCAGTCCAGCCGGACAATAATTTAAAAATATGTGTTTTTCTTATTAGTACCGTATATAATTTCATATGCATTAAGTAAAACGCTGTTATTTTGACATTTCAAACAGACACTTTAATATTTTTTTATCTGTATAGATTTTTATTTGTGAGACATATTATAATGTTAGTGTATTTTTAGTGGTTTTAGAGCCTAAGTACTAAATACATGAGGTTAATTTTGCTGTACTTTTAAAATTGTGAACTTATTATTATGAAACTTACATCTATCTTTTTTATACTAATATTAGAGTAATAAATGCATCCATCAAAAGGTTTATTCAAATCCACTGCCTCTGACTGGTCATTTCTAACTCCCTACATTTAAAAAAAAAACTATTACGGTAGTTTATTATATGGTATTTTTATTAATGGTAAATAAATTTATTATAATTTTATTAATGTATATATACTAATTAATTATTTTTTATATAATAATATCAAATATGTGCTAAAATATAAAGTATAAACTTTTAACTAAATCCTTCGCAAATAAATCGAGTCTCCAAACTCTTTAGACGTTAGAATACAAAAATTGACATTTGCATTTGATAAATTACTTACAGGCGTTATTACAACTTTAGTCTAATAATAATTTATTACTGTCGTTGTGAGTCTTGTTGTTTTAATTAAATAATGGATATAGATTACGATGAAGATATGTTCTCGGCTACAGAAATTCCTTGTAAGCATATTCTAATTGATGTAGTAGAAACAAAGTCCTTGTCATATATTATAAAGATACTAGCCTTTTCCTGCGGCTCCGCCCGCATAGTACATTAATCACCAACATATCATATACTAATACCTTCTACGCTACATCTTATGGTATAAGTATCATTCCGATCGGTTCAGTAGTTATCGCAGTATAACTTTATATATAGGAATATTTTTAATGTGTTCTAACCGAAATCTCAATTTTAAGATAATAATTTAATCAATTTTAAAATAATTTTAAGATAAAAAAGGTTTATCGATGGGTTAAGAACTTTTCAATTACATATTTCTATTGTACTAGCGGTGTATCTTCATTTTGCGTCTCTAGGTGTCTTTTTACCATACATTTTATTGCTTTATTTCATACCGTTTAATCAGCGCATGCGGATAAAACCAACAACAACTACAACCAACTTAACTCTGACTTCATAATACTTTCTTAGATTTACGCGAATATTTGACACTTTTATTACTCTTGACTTTTATTAAAGTTATTATGATTATTGACTGTCAATACATTTGATCGGTATAAAAAATATATCGGCGGTAACGTAGTTTCCTATTAGTGATAGAATTTTCGGAATCAGATCAGTAGTTTCAGAGATTACTCTCTTAATTTACACTTACAAATCTATCTCTTTATAATATAGATTTAGATTTATTAGGCACCTACAATGAATTCCATCTTTATTAAAAATTGCTTTGTTCATGTTTAAATCTTATTATTTGACGTTGGGAAATGCATTTCCACATACCATATGCAAACATACAAGTATTTATGTGAAGACTCACCGGCTAGAAATGCGCTACGCAGTAAAACACCCCGGAACCTTCCTTGTCTTAATGATCTGCCGCAGGACCACTTACGTAGTCAACCACGTCGCCCCGACTGGTCCGCCCAGGCAGACTATAAGAACATTCACGGTCCACTCATCGTTTTCATTATCTATTGTAAACTCTTGTAATTGAAGTCGGTCTCAATTGTTGCAGGTCTACAGCTGCGGAGCATAGAGGAGCCGCAGGGAGGCGCGGGCGGCGGCGTGCCCGCGCCAACCTGCTACGACGCGGAGTGCGCCCGCACGGAGGCCTGGCTAGATGAGAACCAGGAGTTTGTGCATGACTATTTCTTAAGGTAACATACAATATACCTAATTTTGACTTATTTAAACGTAAAAATGAAAATTATTTTAAATACTAGTTACGTAGTTGCACAGTTGAAGGATTCATATTGTTGCTAAAATATAATAATCAGAAGGTTTATGTATGATAAATAAATAAATATGTTGGGACATTAACACACAGCACCATCTAGTTCCATTATAAGCTACGAGACCTACGTTATGGATACCAGATAGTTGATACACTACACATATATAACATTTTAAATACATACATACATACATACATATTATAAATATAAACACACAAATGTTTGCCCCCAGCGAGACTCGAACCCGCGACTGCTGGCACAGCAAGGTCACTACAAACTGAGCCAAACGTGTCGTCAAAACTCACGGAACGAAATATTACAGATACGGAATAAACAAAACTATAGATCTAGGCTTATGATAACTATAGATCTAGGTTTAGTGATATTATCATAAATATGGTACTACAGTTTTTGGATTTTAATATTACCATATTCAAAAAAAAAGAAGTAAATAAGGTAACTAAGGCGATGTAGTGTTAAAAATTACACATTTTTTAATAGAAATTAGACAACTTATCAAAATTATCATATTTGCTAAAGTTTTTGATAGTAACCGCAAAAGATACAAAATAATGAAATTGTTGTTTTGTAGAATAGTTTATAAACAATTTCAATATTTCGTATGTGATACTTATAATAGGTTAAACCTTTTATCTTCAATATTATATATATATATATATATATATTGGGCATAATACACCAAAGATGATAGTAAAAACCTTAATTACTTATTAAATTTTATACCACAAGCTTATACTTACATATATAATACACTTATGTGCGATAAAAGTTATAAAAGCGACATTTCATTTCGCTACTTATTTTGAAGTATAAATTCAAAATGTAAAATTTTATATGACATGAGAATTTTCTCATTAATTATTTTAAAATTAAACGAGGTAAAATATTGGTTATTATATTATTAAATACGAACCAACGAATTAACGTATAACGAATTTATTATAAAATGCAATTTTCAAGATGGGCATTTTATTGTAATACATTGGTTGTTATTACTCAGAGACTGTTCGTTGTAGAGTTCGTTAATTGTTTCATACTTTAATTAAGCGGCTTATCGTTTGAAGTTCGTTGCTAAGCTTGGCAAATTACGTGGAACAGTCTGTAATAAATCCAGATTTACCTATTCTTATTAAAGAAAAGTAAGATGGTAATACATTAACTGCTGAATCTTTATATAGTATAAAATAAAGTCGCTACCGCTGTCTGTTCGCTTAGATCTTTTAAACTACTGAACGGATTTTTATGTAGTTTTCAGCAATAGATGATTCAAGAGGAACCGAGAAATTCAAAGATTTGTATTGTGCGATCACATTGCCTACCTAGGGACGAACCCGAGCAAAGCCAGGGTGAGTCGCTAGTACTATTTAATATTTCATTTAGCCACTAAAATTTTCCACAAAATCTGATCGACAAGTAAGCACAATATTAAAACTTTTTAACCTACGAATCCTCATATTGTAACCACAATGAAGTATTATTATAATTTTGACGAGTAAGTACCTACCTATTTTTTGAGTCAATCACCTTAGTGTGTAGGTTATGCCAAAATAAATCAAATGAAACTAAACTAGATCGATCGACCATCCAGCAGATCAGCGGTGATATCAAATTTTCGTAGTGTCATCAAAAATAGAGATACTTTCAAAGTTTTAAATCGATACGAAATATATTTAGTAGTGCCTATCTGCCTCGGTGGTGTAGTGGCTAGCATGTGCGGCAGTCGGGCCAAGTTTAGTTATACCACAGAAAAGTAACGTGTAGAACGAGTAGTTCAAGGTATATCTTCGAATCGATTGAAATTTATATATTTTTTATATTCACTATTATCTGTGCTACGAAAAAAGTACTACGAAAATTCGTCCAGCTATTTTTCATTAGGTATTGCGTGATTCAAGACGATAAAAATTTTTAATAACCGTAAAATTGATTTCAGCCTCCAAACACTAACATTTCCCACAGGAAAGTTTACATTATGACTGATCACGTAACTGATCTCGTGATTCTAAAATGATATTGCTGTATAATTATAAAATGATGATTCATTTTATTAATTATTCAGCCCTTTTTAACATCCCACTGCTGGGCACGGGCCTCACTTCAATACGAAGGGGATCAGGCCATAGTCCACCACGCTGGCCAAGTGTGGGTTGGCGGACTTCACGTCTTTCGAAAACTTGTTAGGTTTCCTCAGACATGCAGGTTTCCTCACGATGTTTTCCTTCACCGTAAGACAAGGGCTAATCGATTTAAGGGTTAAAAATGTTTCGCACATTAAAATATCAGAGGTGCGAGACCCGGGATTTGAACCCGTTTTACTCGGTTTCCCAAGCGAGCCCGTTACCACTGGGAAACCACTGCCTTCATGTATGCATTAAGGCAATTAGTACCTTCAAATCCTTTTTTACTTAGGAAATAGAAAAAAATAACGTAATGTATTTATAACGACATTTCCATTTTTGGCTTGTTTGGCTTTGGCTAATCTGTTTGTGGTATCTAACGGACCCGTAATATGTTTTCCTTATTTGTAAATAGTAACAAAAAAAAATTTAAAACGTTAATTTATGTGAAAATTTTCATTCAAAAGTTACTCATGAGTGCTAACTAGATAGTACTTTCTTTTTCTTTTTATAATGATATGTTATTTGGATAAAGAAATAGAGGCGACTTTTTTGTAATTTGTTAAATGAACCGCTATGTGGAAAAAATCTTGTAAGTGGCAGTCGGGCGATTGTGACTCGCACGCTGAGGGTTTCTTAGCATGAACCACAAGTTCCGTTTTGGCCTTTAGTCTACGATACATACCTAACAAATATTTTCGAAGTCGGTGTGCTTTGCTTTGTCAGTGGCACCGATATAAAAACACACTGATTAGGTAGTGGTAATTAATATTTAGGTAGGCTTTAATTACTTAGCCATGAAAATACCGACTTCGAAAATATTTGACCCTTAAATGGCTAGGAATGAATGTTAAAGTTCAATCAGTTTTTTTTTAAATGTGAGTATAGCTTTGATAGTAAACGTTTTTATTTTTTTCGGTCCTAAAACGTCCTATTTTTCCCTTTTTTAGTGTAAAATTGCACAGTAAGCTTTCTAAATAATTTTTATTGTGATATGTCAATCAATCAAAATTCCCAAACTCAAAGTATCTACTATTAGCCGTTTGAAAGTTCCACCTATCCACCTTCTGTGCCATGAAAGATATTTGAACAAACTCCGAACCACTGGGGGTACCATTAACATAATAGAAATTTGTGCTCGCTAATCTCAGAAACCGTTTCCGATTTGGGTGCGGTTTTCACTAATGTATGTATTAGTTGGTTTACTTCCATTAGAGGTGGTATTTTTTTTTTCGAAATTTAATGGGACCAATTAAGTATACCCTTTCAACAAAACAAAAATTTTCCATTAGGCTAAATTCAAATTAAGTACGGAGTTCTGAGGTAACAAACATAAAAAAAAATAGTTTGTACAGTCGAATTGAGAACGTCCTCCTTTTTGAAAGCCTCGCTTGACGCGTAAGACGTGAAAGGTAATACGAGTATTTTAATAGAAATGTTAGTGTTTATTATTTATTGATGAAGCTTTTGTTCCGTTTTAGCCTTTGTTGCGAACCTTCTCATTCTATGTATATAATAATAAAAAAGTCAGTTGACTCATATAAAAACACACTGGACCATAACATAGTGGTTAATACTTATTTTCGTAATTATTTGTAATGCTTATTGAAGGGTTATACTTTGTTTTTTACCCTTTGGAAGGAATAAATATGTTAAAGTAATATTTTTTACGGCAATACCGACAGCCACAGTACACGATAAAGTTAGCCGCATTCCTATTACAATCAGAGAGTTCGTGACATACGGGATGTTTTTAACTATTTTTTAAAATTGCACAGAAGTAAATAATCTTTATTCTTACGTGCGTACATAAGTACACAGACATTTTTTTTAATGCTATATCTTATCAAAAACGTGACCTGTTGCTATGAGAGATGTACAAACTTACATACATACTTTCGAATGTTTAATGTTATCAAGTATTATTATTAAATATCTAATAGAAATTTGTGCTCGCTAATATCAACAAAACTCGTTTCCGACTTTGGATGCTTTTCAATGTATGTATTATGGTAAGCACTTAACATTGTATCTGTTTTATTTCAAGTGGTTCTGACAATGGAAGTTGTATTAATTTAATCTTATTGCAGATTTAGTTAAGTTTCAAAGGAAAATCACAGTGATAAGCGTAATATAAATACTTAGCTTTATGCACAAAATATTAGTTCTGAAGTCAAAATGTTTTGTTTGACGTTCAAGACACATTTTAAAGCCTCGCTTGACGCGTAAGACGTGAAAGGTAATACGAGTATTTTAATAGAAATGTTAGTGTTTATTAATTCGATGAATGTTTTTTTTTTTATTTTATGTTTGTTACCTCTCATATTTTACTCCGTATTAAATAAAATTAACCCTATAAAATTTATCATTGCTTTTGTTTGAAAGGGTATACTTCCAGATTGGTCCCATTTGTAAATGCTTATTGAAGTTACCACCCCTAAGGCACGTTTGGAAAAAAATATGACAGTAAAATTTAACCTACTTCTAATTGCGCATACCGACTTGCCAAAAAGCTTTGACATGATGATTTCTATTTCCTATTACAATCAGTGGTTGTGTCATATGTTGACCTGATCTGATGGCAAGGCCAGAAGGTGGATTATGTCGAAGAACTCTTAACGGCGTACATAGTACACTTTGAGTTTTGGGCTTATTTTTGTTTGATTTTGACAAGCCTAACACGTGAGAATTCCTGTTGCTATGAGAGCTCTACTGTCTACACTAAAAAGGGAACATACATAAAACTTTTGTTAACAAAAAATAAAAACCGACTTCAAACAGAAAGCAATATAAAAACAAAAACTCGTCACTTTTGGATACTTAATATTACAAAGTAGCATCTTTATTGTTCTGAATAAAGTTTTCGAAGTCGGCTGTGCTTTGGCTAAGTATTAAAGCCTACCTAGAGAATACAGGTACCTAGTTAAGTTTCGAAATCGGTAACAGCCCATACAAAGCAAATCACACCGACTTCGATATAATATTTGATATTAGGTTCTGTATAGTAAATGAAAACTATCACTTCAGACACATCTCTTTTAGTGCTTTTTGTTTGAAGTCGGTTTTTACATACTAAAAAGTTTTTATTTTTAAAGAAAATCACTATTTTCTATAATAATATAGTATACATTTTTAACTGTAGTTTGCCCTCCGATTATACACTCGTCCTTATATAATAGATTCAAAATAAAACTAAATCTCGCAATGCAATATAGGTACCTATTGCAGCGTTTCTTGATTAACTTGCCTTTTGATGCACTAGTGTAGAGGTTACGTGTTAATTCTATTTATCATTCTGTATGATCTTGTGCAAGATTGACGTTTAATTTACTCATAGTAAGATTCGGTTTCATATGTACAAATTATATCGAGAGTACATCTTATGATTTCATGAATTATATACATACTAGCAGAACCCGCGGCTTCGCTCGCGGTAAAACTACACAACAACTCTGAAAACGTAGGTTTTATATGAACTTTCACGCCCTATTTTACCCTCTTATGGGATGAATTTCGAAAAATGCTAAAACACGTATTTATTTTATTGTATTGAAGACCTTTAATACCAATTTTCGAGTAATTTTTTTGGATTGTATTAATTAGATAATAACTCGCGGTAAAAAGTAGCCTATGTCACTTTCCAGCCCTTCAACTATCTATATCTATATTCACGCCAGTCCGTCACTCCCTTTCGACGTAAAAGAAAAACAAACAAACAAACACACTTCACATTTATAATATTACGTTTGGATATAGTAGCCATTCACACAGTTTTCAAAAGGAATCTAGTCTATTTCTTACCATAAAGTAGATCTCTTTTGAAATCATGACAATTACTTTAAAGTTAGTTTTTTAGACGATGGATCAATAAGCAAGCTTTATTTAAATAGAATATCAATATATTTACACAAAGTATATATTTAGTAGTTAAATCTTATAATAAGTTTACACCTCAACGTTTGTTAGCGTCTTGTACAAATTCGATTTCACGTTTGATTCAATATGTTATCGCATCCCCGTAAATTGTGTTACAGTTTGTGTTCGATGCCATTCCCAAAGTACATATGTTCTTCTAACATTTATTTACTTTAAAGTAATATGTACCTGAGACAGTGGTAGCCCAGTGGTAACGCGCTCGCTTGGGGAACCGAGTGAAGCGAGTTCAAATTCCGGGACTCGCACCTGTGATATTTTCATGTGCGAAGTATTTCCCGCATGATTACCACTTGTCTTGACGGTGAAGGAAAACATCGTGAGGAAACCTGCATATCTGAGAGAGCCTAGCAAGTTTTCAAAAGACATGTGAAGTCCGCCAACCCGCACTTGGCCAGCGTGGTGGACTATGGCCTGATCCCCCTCGTATTGAAGGGAGGCCCGCGCAGACGTTAAAAAGGGCTGAATACAATATGCACCTATAGCATTATTCGGCATTAACTATTTATGAAATACGCTAGAACGTTAACTTAATTATAATTTTTTAAAGATCTAACTTTTAAGAAATATAACTATTTTGAGAAATCTAGTAATCTAGACTATACGTTTTCTAGATAGATATCCCACACATAAAAACAGAAGCACTGAACAATAAGGAAGACACGTTTAATGAGCTTTGGCGTTGATCGTAACGAGACAATCTCGTAAACTCTTTAATAAATTTAAACGTGACCAGATAATACTGCTTTATAGAAGATTACTACAGAATAAGTTAGTTTTACAATGAAATAATAATACTGTAGTCCTCTGAGAGCTAGTTACATAATATGTCACAGTGAATTTATTTAATATGCTTTTAGTTTTAGATGTTTTCAAATAAAATCTTTTGTATCGCGCAAGTTATATGTAATAACGCTTAAAAAATCATATGTATGGAAAATTGGTATTATTACTTCAAATCGTATTATAATTAGTAATATATTATTGAAAGAGAAAAAGTATTTATTGGGTTTTATTTGTTGCGGGATAAGCAGGGATGAAACATATAGTCATTTCTCACTCTTTATCGCATCGTCCGGCTACGAACTTCCAGTGCTGCTCAGTTTAAGTTAAATCTGAATAAATTGTACGGTCGTTGCAAGAGCTTTAAGCTCGGAAATGTATAAATTTGGAGGGCTTAAATATTTTTATGTCCACAGGAAGGCGACGCGGCAGGTTGTAGACGCGTGGTTAGTGTCTCACGCTACCCCACCCAGCGCCGAACTTGCGTCCCCTTCGCGGGCCGGCTCAGGTTCAGGCGCTACTACACCTGTCAGGTATAATTTTACTTGTCTTTCGCAATAACCAATTGTGTTGTTATTACTTTCTTAGATTTATGCGAATTTTTGACATTCAAAATAAAATATTTTTTTCAGTTTTATCACGGTTATAATTTTCTTATTTTTTGCTTCACGGCATTTCGAATGCTTTACAACAACCATGGTCATGAGAGAGATTACATTCTGTTTAATATAAACCACTCGAAACTTCAGAAACCCAAAAATCTAAGTAAAACCACGATAAAATCTGAAAAAAAACCCCTTTATTTAAAATCGTCAACTGAATTATATTACAGTAAGCAATTACTTCTCATATTAAATAATTTTCGTTTAAAATTGTAACACATGAGTTATTAATGTCATCATTATTCATTATTGACTGCCTCGGTGGTGTAGTGGCTAGCATGTACGGCTGCACACCCGGAGGTCCTGGGTTCGAGTCCCGGGTCGGGCCAAGTTTAGTTATTGAGTCTTCCTGTATAGTAAGTCTCAGTAACAGCCCGGAGTTGGGAAGTTGGCGGTGTTTCACCCCCGTGCCTCGGAGAGCACGTAAAGCCGTCGGTCCTGCGCCTTAACTCTCACTGGTCGTGTCGAGTGGTCGTCCCACCGGAGTATGAGAGTGATAGGAATAGAGAGTGCACTTGTGTCTGCGCGTACACTTGTGCACTATAATATTTCCTGCGCAGTTGGCTAATCTCATTGAGATTGGCCGCCGTGGCCGGAATCGGCTAGGAGAACATCATCATCATTCATTATAATATTAAGTAATTAAAACAAAAATCCATTTAACGTTTCTGTTAAAGCTTTTGTCAATTAATGACATAAAATATTACTTACTACGTATTCAGTGTTATTATGAATGTAAAACGGATCTGATAGAAATTAAGTTGGAAATAGCCTATTAGCGGCTCATAACTTACTAAAAGGACCCTTCTGCTTAAGGTTCAAGCACATTGAGATAATTGACTTAATCGTGTTATTTCTTTCTTTCTTTTACCGATTTTGATATGAATGTCGGTTGATGTGTTAAATATTTGTAAGACTGTTGCCGTGTTCTTATATTCATGAACTAGCGGTTCATACTCGCTTCGTTCGAGTTCGACCCTAAGTAAGTTTTATTACTTAGTATGGAATATATAGTCTATATATTATATTACTGATCCGCTCCCTTGGCTATTAATATAAAATATATACCTATAGTTTTACAATAATGTATGGAAGTCTGCCCGATTTGTTGATATTTATGATTACTGCTCCGCTCCCTTGGGTAGTAAGTAGCATGATGATATTACTCACTAAACGGGCTATCTAATGCAAAAAGATTTTTTTAAATCAAATTAGTAGTTCCTGAGATTAGCGCGTTCAAAAGAACAAAGAAATAAACGATCTAACAAACAAACAAACAAACTCTGCCTCTTTATAATATTAGTGTAGATAATATAATAAATAGTAATGGAATGAAACTTTAAATTACGTTTTAATAAAAATGCATGTTTGACAACACATTAGGTTTATTAAAATAACGAAATCTTTTATATTATTGACTAGCGACTCACCCTCGCTCCGCTCGGGTTCGTCCCTGTGGTGGGGTCTGGGAGGACCACCCTTATCCTTATCACTTAGGGGTATGGAAAATAGATAGTAGCCGATTCTCAGACCTACTGAATACGCATATAAAATTTGGTAAAAATCGGTAAAGCCGTTTCGGAGGAGTACGGTAACTAACATTGTGACATGGAAATTTTATATATTAGATTTTACAATAAAGAGCAATATCAAAATGTATAAGAAGTAGTTTTAACATTATATAATAAATTATTCTTACTGTGAGTTTTAATTGTTTAATATAACAATAATGTGACCCTAAAAATTTTACAGCACTTAACATATACAAGCATATTATTGGAGCGTCAATAATTCTCCTTATCCGAGACGCTCTAACCTGCTCTTGTACTTGTAGCCTTCATCAATCTTATGTCACCCCACTATACCTAGTGCCATATGGATAGGGTTGCTACATACAATAATTGTAACTTAATATTAATACTTCCTTAGATTTTAAATAAAAGTAAATGGATTTATTTCGTTTGTCTCTCCCGTGACCATTATTACTGTAAAGCATTCAAAACGTCCGGAATAATCAAAATAAATCAGCGAAAAAATGCGAAAAGATAGGTTTAATTAAAGCTTAATATTTTATTAAAAATATCACTAATTCAACATATGCCTTACATAGGTTGATAAAAGTCATAAAAACTCTGAAAAAATCTTGTGTAACTTAAATCATTTTACGTTTATGCTTCTTTAATATTTGATAATGTAAGTGCATCACACTGTCATGAACGTATATTAGGCATTTTATTAAAAATTTGTGAAACATATCAAAATAACAGCATCATGTTATTTAATTGAGTTAAAATAACCAATTAAACAAATTTAAGTTAGTAAAATTATTTTATTGGTTTATCTTAGAATTTATTTTGAAAATATATATTTTTTTTATTTATATGGCATCCCTATACTTCTCATGCCCAGCTTAAATAGATTGCCAGCCACTTGCAAATTTACGACATAAAAGTATTTTGTATATACATATCTACATTTTCTCTTGTATAAACGTAGAGAAAATTTTTCGTACTTTTGAACCTGAAGTTTGGTTTAAGCTTTATGAAAAATGAATTTTTAAGTGAGCACAAAAGATAAAATCTGAAATAATAGGAATTAAAGGGAAATGTTCAAAGGATGCATGAGATGATTTTTTATAATAAGAATTTTTTGTTTTTTTTTTTTTTTTTTTTTAATATAAACACATCTTTATAATTAATTAATTACACGATGCAAAAACTGCGAAACTAATTTAGTTTTGCTTAAAAAGATTAAAGGTTTTAAAACGTAAAACCTTTAAATTTTAATTCTTTAAAACCTGAAGTAAGTACCCTTTTTTTGCCATGAAATGCCTTTTTTTTAACGTTGGGAAATGCATTTACGCACGAAGTGGGACTCACCGGCGTAATAAAGTCAGTACTACCCACTAAAACCCAACAAAACCTTCCCCCGTCTTAATGGGGCGTCGCAGGATCGCTTACGCATTCAACTACGACGCCCCGACGGTAGGTCTGCCGAAGCAGACCACAATAACCACGGGGTTGCTCCAAGGTCCACTCTGCTATCAGAGAAGTACCAGGAGCAACCCGCATGGTACACCGCCCACCGAAGTGGGCCACTTCCCTGTGCGTTTCTTGGCTTCGCGCCCGGTTAGATTGCCGGGCACTACTGAGCCCCCCCCACCACGACAAGGTGAACGCATTGCCATGAAAAGCCTATATGGGTAGGTTGATACTGAAATAAATGATGGTCTATACACGATGGTCTGCTTCGGCAGACCTACCGTCGGGGCGTCGTAGTTGAATGCGTAAGCGATCCTGCGACGCCCCATTAAGACGGGGGAAGGCTTTGTTGGGTTTTAGTGGGTAGTACTGGCTTTATTACGCCGGTGAGTCCCACACGTCGTGCGTAAATGCATTTCCCAACGTTAAAATAACACTTACACATTTGATCTTGACGCCGGAGGTGTGTAAAGAATAGTATAACGATTTGCTAAAAAAGAGCAACAATATGTCCTATTTATCCCGCAACAAAAACGCGTATTCTAATAGTTTTTTTTGATAATGATATATTATAAGAGTAAAACATAATAACACGAAGTAATATAGAAATACTAAGAAACTATTGAGCCTAGTGGCATCTACATATAATATAAGTAAGACGATAGGAAGATAGGAGTTTTAAAAGCTTTAAGATTGATTTTTTCAACTTATATTTATAACTGTGTATTTTGGTATTATGCGTAATGAAAAATTACTGTTCAGTTAGCTACGTGATCATATGTACATATATGTCTGTTTAAGTTTATCATAAGCATACATGTATTTAGCCCTTTTTAACGTCCCACTGCTGGGCACGGGCCTCCCTTCAGTACGAGGGGGATCAGGCCATAGTCCACCACGCTGGCCAAGTGCGGGTTGATGGACTTCACATGTCTTTTGAAAACTCGCTGGGTTCTTTCAGACATGCAGGTTTCCTCACGATGTTTTCCTTCACCGTAAGGCAAGTGGTAATCATGTTGGAAATGATTCGCACATGAAAATATCGGAGGTGCGAGACCCGGGATTTGAACCCGCTTCACTCGGTTTTCCCAAGCGAGCGCGTTACCACTGCGCTACCACTGCCTCTTAATACAACTATAGATTAATTGCATTATATTTCGAAGTCGTATAATGAAATTGTAAAGATTTTATTAAATAATATAGACCGTCATATGGTTAGACGCTGATATTTAAAAATACTTTTCTCAAAAATGTCTTTCAAAGTTTCAATTTCTATTTCCATTGTGTAAGAAAGGAAACTGTCCCTTTGTAGTCTGAGACGAGTTGGCGTCAGTCTAGAAAACTAAAGTAAGATCAGAGTGAGATGTTTGAAACCTGTAATAAAAACCTTTTGGCAGTGTAATACGAAATGTCTTTTGAGGTGCGAAAACTGTCCAAGTTGAATCTTTTTTCGTTATCTAAGAGTTTTTACTGAGATAATCTAGACTGATCTTGGGAAGATAAATTGTTTTCTTAACTTGGAACGATTTGTTTACGCCAGTTACATGACACTTTTATTTTCATTCTAAATTTTTTTTCTAAGTTTTTATGCGTGTTTGAATTCATTGTTGGACGTGTTCACTAACGAAAAAGTTTCAATACGTTTTGTTAACCGACTTCAAAAAGGAGGAGGTTCTTAAATCCATTGTCACATAATTATTTGTAATTTTTGTTTGGTAATATTGATAATGATGTATGGTGTAATACAATTTACGAAAAGCTTTTAACATTATGCATACCTACATGTATTAGTCTATTACTAATATTATAAAGAGGTAAAGTTTGTGATTTTGTGAGTTTGTGACGTTGTAGGGGGTAATCTCTGGATCTACTGAACCGATTTAGATGAAATTTAGTAAGAAGATAGTTTGAGACCCTTGGAAGGGCATAAGATACTTTTTATCCCGGAAATTATCCCTTAAGGGGGTGAAAATGGGGATGTAAGTTTGTATGGGGAATCAACCTAGGGACGAACCCGAGCGAAGCTAGGGTGAGTCGCTAGTTTTATAATAAATAAAATTAGTACTTCTATAAGATAATAAAAATGCTATAAGAAAATAATAACTGCTATAAGTGGAGATAAAAATATTTCTCATACTTTCGCTAATCGGATTATTGGCGTACGATATTTCTAAGTAGGTATAATAGAAATTTTGGACTAAACACGATTCGTTATCATACATTTTCCCAAACGGATAGCTGTGGATAAAGCGCTCGTGTTTTATCTGCGATCAAATATATTGCAACCATGAAATATTATTTGGTATGAAATTGTTAATTAGCATATTATTTGGCAATTTCTCTAACAACAGCAGCTTATTTATTGTTTAATTATAATAATTATTTGGTTAATTTATGTAACAGTTTGGGATTTACAGCCATTTGTATTGCTGATTATGTATTTTTCTTTAAAAATCTACTCAATATGTAATTATATTTCAATTTTCTTGATAACAATTATATGATTTATTTTAAATTAATGTAATGTCTCCATTAACTCATCGTTCACTCGACTAAGTTTAAACTTCGTAATGGTCTACATGCACTCGTGTCAAAGTTTCTGATGTAATATCTTATCATCTATTTACCTATACGTATAGGAAGTGGTAGCCCAGTGGTAACGCACTTGCTTGGGAAGCCGAGTGAAGCGGGTTCAAATCCCGGCTCTCGCACCTCTGATATTTTTATGTGCAAATGTTTTCAACATGATTACCGCTTGATTTACGTTGAAGGAAAACATGAGAATAACTACATATCTGAGAGAACCTAGCAAGTTTTCGAAAGACCTGTGAAGTCCGCCAACTCGCACTTGGCCAGCGTGGTGGACTATGGCCTGATCACCCTTGTATTCAAGGAAGGCTCTTCTCCCGCAGTGGAACGTTAAAAAGGGCTGAATAAATCTACTTATATTAGATTTGAGGTTTATTAGTCTGAATACCTGAATACAACAAGTACAACCAGTAATTTACTGGCATTCCCAGTCATTAAAAGATCAATAACTCGCAATCAAATTAAAATCAAATACAAAGTTGAATTTATAATGATTGATTAATTAAGAGAAAAAGAATGTGTTCTTTTGCAAGATTTATAAAATAATCGACGATTTTATATTCGCTAGTATTATAAAATGCACTCAAAAATATATTTGAAAATTCTCTATAATGAAAACGTCGGTCATAAAAATAGAATGTCGTCATAACGGGGCTCGCAGCCTCGCAAAAAAGTAAAACCAAACTTTGCGTTCTGCCCGATATGCATACTTCGTTCTGGTTACTAGAAAATGTTTAAAAGTGCTATTTATTTGTAGAATTTTGCTTAAAACTCAGTTTATTTTGGAATTATACTAATTACCATTTCTTATTCAAAAATACTAATTTTGATGCTTAAATTTTACTTTAAGTAAATACTTTATGACTTTTATTCCTTTAATGGACTCCAGTATATTACGTTACGCTATATTCTAAACATACTAGCACTAAACATCTCAATGTACAGTATATTCTGTGCAAGAATTGAACCCGCGACCTTCGACCGCTACGTAGTGCCACCTAATTGTATATAACTATTCCTTATACTTTTTTATCTTTATAAGACCTTCGTCTAATTGATAAATTTGGGGGGTAAGCCAGGTGTAAAATTAACTTATGACACGACTATTATAATTATTTTATATCAGCCGAACCGACACATTGTCCTGCCCCGATTTATTTTTTGTTTATGATCTTTGATATAAGTCCTACAAAAAAACTAAAGAACAAAGCACTTTTAGTTCCAAATTTTCCAATTTTCCGGGCTATTTTTCCTAAAAACAAATTAGCCAAATCGATTCAAACATGGAACAGTATTGCATTTTTATCTATGTAGAATTAGTATATTAAATTATCTATATCTAAAAATTATAGGGATGTGAACGCTCATCATTAAACTTTTTTTTTTAAATATGTTTTGAGGATGCTCGAGATATACTCGTAATAAAGGTACAATTCCGCATTACCTCTCCGAGACGAGACCGCTACACGAATTTCAATTATTTTTTACTATAGTCTGAATTAAAAGACTGAGCTTAACTTGTGCTTTTACGCGGTCGTATAGAAGGATTTCTTGAATAAAATGAATGTTTTTGGTAGTTATGGACAAATTAAGCGTTTATTGTCACTGTATACGAGATGAGAAATGATTTGTAAAAAATAATACGTAATCATATTTTTTTCATAGGAAGATCTCAGCGCATGAGTTTGAACGCGGTGGGCTTCTAAAGCCTTTGGTGACCACAGTCGACGGCACCCCCACCTTCCTTGGTGACCAGCCACATGCTACACCGTCGCGGCCACAAAGACGGTCGCGGCATGAGTTAAGGCAACTCGACGAGAAGGAACTTATATTTGAATTAGTGAGTGTGTTTTATTTATTAAAAATATTCATAATTAGTATAACTTTTTTAGAATAAATAAGAAAAATAGTACGTCTGCTTTGGGTTTTCATCGATGTTTGTTGAATGGTGGTATCTGATACTGTCTTGGTCTTATCTAGACCGGTACAAATGTCTAATGTAATTAAAAGAAATCTGCTCCGCCCGCTTATTTTTATTTCATTAGATATTTCTCGATAAATAGAAACCAAAAATCGATTAATTGACTCGATAATTTTAATATATTGTTGTAATTACCTAACCAATAAATACTAGATGTCCTCCGACTGGTAAAGGTTGCATTTTATGCAAATAACATCTCAAACGCTATTTATAAAACCTAATTTGTGTTTGTTTTTTTTTTGGTAATTCATTAAATGAATGAATGTACATTGTATTCGTATATTTATTAGTGGAAAGTTAGTTGAACATTTGCCGACAAAATAATACATTCGTTTTGTGGATCAGTTCTTTACATCGCGCGTCAGTCCGGTCCGATAACGTCCAAGTGTGAAATATAGAACTAGATAAAGTGCAAGATTTAAGACCTGAATACGAGAATTGAATAAAAATGTGTAATATCATGGTGTAGTATATCGAATTGACTTTTGATTGATTGAGATATTAACTTGGTCGAAATTTATAGTAAACCAACCTTCTTTAAGGCGATTAGTACCCTCAAGGGCTAGCAAAGAGCTACTTTCTAAAGCGTACTTCTCGTTTATGGCTTGACCGAAATGCTTGAAAAAAAATATATGTGAATCATCAACTTTTAAACAATATTTTCATTAGAACCCTACTGAGTTTTAATAGAACACTATCTAATTATCCTTTAAAGTACGTCGCGAATTTTTTTAATTGTACTTTCAGTATAATTCATATTATAATCATTATAAAAAATTTCATATATTTTCTTTTCATTGGAAAATAGAAATTTTAGGAGGGGGCAGAAGCTAATATACAATTTTTAAGTTTTATTTTTATTTCAATTCTTTTCTCAGTGGGTAGCCTAGAACTGCCATTTTCATTTTAATATTTGGGCATGACTCGTGAACTGTTCACAATTGATAGCTAAGCGCAATAACGATTCAATGAAACGTACCAGACTCTGTTTGCATAATAATTAAATGTAATAATAATGTTGAAATATTAATAGTTATTTCGACACAATTTCTACGTCTAGACTGCAAATGTAAGCCATGACTCACATTTTAATATCTAATGTTTTACAATAAAATTTCGTAATATTATGGTTTCTATATCTTTTTGAACACCGTAGTCCGATCATTATCAAAATTATTAGACCTCAAATGATTCTTCAAAATTGCGAGTTTGATCCACGTGGGGTGACGGGACGTTTGTTTTGTCGGTGCCAGCCCATACAAAGCAAAGCACACCGACTTTGAAAATATTTGATTAGGTATGTATAGTAAATGAAAACTACCAATCAGTTATTTTTTACTTTTTAGTGCTTTTGTTTGAAGTCGGTTTTTATTTTTTTTTGTTAAAAAGTTTTTATTGATAATTAATCTATAGGCACCTACTAATATTGTAAAGAGGCAGATTTTGTTTGTTTGTTTTTTTTTGTTTGAACGCGCTAATCTCAGGAACTAATAATGCGATTTGAAAAAATGATTTTGCACTAGATATTCAGTATAATCCAACTTTTATTAAAGAAATATTTTAACATTAGTCATTGTTACCTAATGCAGAAATAATTTCAAGCAAAGTAATATATTTAAGATAATTTTAGAAAGTAATTTTATTATATATCTACTCGTAACTTTTGTATACATACCATACCTATACAAAAATATATATTCAATTTTTCAAATACATTCTTTGCCTAGTTTCTAATATATCAGTTAACTGGTAAAAGAAATTTTGCTTTGTTTCGTTAGCTAAAATGTTTTCTTAGCCATCAACAGAACATGTGCCCGCCTACTTGTTTGAATTTAATCATAAAATAGTACTTACATAGTTACAGCGTTTGTAATACTCCAACTTGTACATTATTGCGAGTATTATTGACGTGAAAACTTCTATAGGCAGGTTTGGAGGGGGAGTAAATTCATGTAAGTCGTCATCGACATGGTCACGTGACGTGTTAACGCTAACACTCAGAGTGCCGATAGATGTCAAAACTAGATAAATGTAAACAGTTTTAATTTAAAAATATTAATTTAAGATCAAACAATTAATTTGAATATCCAAAAATAACAACTGTTTGTTTATAGTTTTAAGTTTTCACTTCTATCGGCGGTCCTCATGACTGCTGTTTTTCTTCCACTGTAAATATTTATTTTGTTTAATAAAAAATACAATATTCTAATCGTTCCAAAAACTACGTAGGTACCTAAAAACGGCCCTAGGCCATGATAGTGTATCTGTGTACTAAATTTTATCCAAAACCGTTCAGCCGTTTCAACGTGAAGAAGCATATAACATGTACATAACATGTATGTACTCGTATATACGCATACAAAGTTGCGCAATTATAATAATAGTCCCGATAAGTGCGAAATGTGTTTGTTAGTTTGTAATTTTATGGCGACTGTGAATTGAAATGGTTTATCGACCCGCGATAGTGGTTTGCCACTCTTTATCGAGGTAGCACGTGATTTTATGGGATATTATTTATTAAAAAAATAAAATAAAATGCGCACGGTGTATATATGTAGCCAACTAATTTTCAGGGGATGTAAGTTATGCATATAAAAACCGACTTCAAACAAAAGCACTAAAAAGTAAAAAATAACTGATTGGTAGTTTTCATTTACTATACATACCTAATCAAATATTTTCGAACTCGGTGTGCTTTGCTTTGTATGGGCTGGCACCGATTTCGAAAATATTTGATTTGGTATGTATTTAATAGGTAGGCTTTAATTACTTAGCCAAAGCACACCGACTTCGAAAATATCCTCCTTTTTGAAGTCGGTTGAAAATAGAAATCTTGTAAGTTAAGGCAGAAAAATAAAACACTTTATAAAATATTATGTTATATAAACATTTTCGTCTCTATCATATTCTTAGCGGTATGACAGGCACAATTGGTTTAAATTCGGCTGACAAATGATACCTACAAGTAGATAGTATTTAAAATGAACATGAGAATTTGTGTTATTATATTTTGTGAATATATTAAATATTATTAACTTATTTAAGTACTAGCGGCTCACCCTAGCTTCGCTCGGGTTCACCTGTAGGAAAATAAAAAAAAACCTATCCCACTGAACCGTACATTTTTCGGGATAAAAGTAGCCTGTGTATTATTTCAGGCTATAATCTATATCTGTGCCAAATTTCATCCAGATCCGTTTAGCCGTTCTGGCGTGAAAGAGTAACAAACATCCATACATACTCACAAACTTTCACATTTATAATATTAATAATATAATATACATAATACGGATACAATTAGATACACATTTTAACTTTAGTAATATTAGCTTTTATTGACTTAATATCAATATATGTATAAATAACTAGCGACTCACTCTCGCTTCGTTCGTGTTTAGGTTGCTTCCTGATACAAACTTTCATCCCCATTTTCACCACCTTAAGAGATGATTTCCGGAATAAAAAATATTCTATGTCCTTCCCAGGACCTTAAACTATCTTCTTATCAAATTTCATCTAAAGCGGTCCAGTAGTTTTTGAGTTTAATCGTTACAAACAAAAAAAATGCAAAAATACAAATCTTCCTCTTTATAATATTAGTGTTGATTAGCTACCTGCCTGAAGTCTTGCACACGTATGTATTTTAGTTAATCAGCTAATAAATTTGATCTGTGCTTGCATAGGATATTTAGATAATATTTTAAGTACTCAACTTTAAAATATAAGTTATTTTTTAAAGTTAAAATAATAAAATTGTAATTAAAGTCCACTACATCCCAATGAATTGTTTTATATGAAATTACAACATACATTAATTCTAATAAAACTATTAAACTGATTTCTTTTATATCAAAATATTAAAAAAATATATAATGACAAACAACCAAACTACTTTTTGCTTGCTACTATATATATATATGTAAATGTTAGATAGTAAGTTATGAGAAGCAAAGCCATCAAATAAGCTTTATCCTCGCTTCTTGAAACACGTGTCCGGCGTTCAGATCACGATAAATGCTATTAAACCACTGGGATGCGAAACGTTTAGTGTTTACATGTGTACCAATTTATGCCTCTGAACCGGGAGGTCAACCGATAAAACGGCGGGCCACGCTTGATAATAATTACATGTACACAACGCCACCCACGGTTCAATGGAAAGGCAAATTATAGCATTCGATGAGATAGTGACGTCATAGGAAGTTTTAATATAGGTTGAAATTACAATTTCTATAAACATAATTTATTTGTATTTTAAATAAAACTATCTTTCCGGATTTTTTCGCGAATTTATTTTGATTTTTGGTTCCCGACGTTTCGAATTTTTGAATTCATTTTGTTAATTGTTGGTAGGCTGTCAGTAACAACTATATAATACCTTAGAGACATCTAACACCTCAGTCTCTCCCGTGACCATGATTGCTGTAAAGCATTCGAAATGTCGTGAACCAAAAATGAAAATAAATTTGCGAAAAAAACCGAAAAGATAGTTTTATTTAAAATGTCAAGTATTCGCGTAAATCTAAGAAAGTATAATTTATTTGTATATAGAACGACCGCCTTAATAAGAACTGAAGGCTAGTGTGTTATATACAGGAGACGTTGTATTATATTATAATAACCTTTTTGGGATGCTCTTTTATTTTCGCTAAGGCTTCTAATTTATAAGTAGCTTTTTGCAACCATTTAATTTATACATATAATAAAATCGTAACTAAGCCGAATCTGTACATTGAATATTTTTAGAAGTCTGTTACCGCATCACGGAAAAACCACTGGAGGGATTTTCATGAAATTTGGTACGGCGATAGCTGGTTATCCGGGTCAACATATAGGATACTTTTTACCGCGAGAAAATA